GTCACTTGAGATTCATTATTCCCCATGTCACAATGGGACAGCCAGAGCTCAAACCAGATGCTTCTTTCCCCAAGATGCTACAGTCATGGCTCCGGTATGACATGGCTTTGCAGCAAGTGTGCGCAAAGGTTTATCTTTAATCATTCCCCAGGGCCATGGTAAATCAGAGGGTAAATTGTTCCTTGCATCACCTCCCTTGGGATTCATTGCACTCAATAAAGACAGACACAGAATTTCAACACAATCCAGCCAGGCATTTGGAGCTGGGCTGTGCTCACCCCAGCTGACCAACCGGCGTGCTCAAGGCTGCCCGCTGGCATGAGCCTGGCAGGGCTGCCCTGCCCTGGCCCAGCAACCCAGCCACCATCCCGGCACTTGTGAGAACCCTGTACTTGTGCATCATGGCAGAACATCCTTTCCAAGGGCTCCAAAATTTTAGTCAAAATATTTTTCAAGCAATGCTCTGTTCTGGCTACCAAGCTGCCATGGAGCTGTTGGGAGTTTGATCTGCACGTACGATACTAAAGTAATTAAAATGAGGATATGAGCAACTCACAATTCTCTCATCCTAAAAAAACCCAAACCAGCACATTTTCATCCTTGAAAAGTGTCAGTCAGCATATCCTACATAGTGGGGGGATGCACTTCACACATATTCCATACATGTGTAGTGGAGGGCACTTGCTCTCCATCCCTACCCACACTGCTTCCACCCGGCACTGGGAGGGCACAGTACACTGCACCTAGCCAGGGTCTGTCACATTGTCTGCGGGAGCACAGTTACTCTCTGATTTACCGTTACTCTCTGATTTACCATTAAAAACCACCTCATGGGGGATAAACAGGACACCAGTGGGGTCTGTCTGCACGGCAGCCCACGCAGGCTTGGGCACCCAGCCAGCCACCAGCTTTGGGACTGCTGTCCTGGCTGCTCATGTGCTGCCTGATTATGCACCATGTGCTTCATATGGGCTTGTGCCTGTGTTTAATTGCATGAAGGTGAAGGACTCAAAAAGTCATCTAATGCTGATTGGGCTGCACCCCTATGAGCTGCCATCACTGCAATGCAGACAGACCCAAGCAAACCCTGCCTCTGCAGCTGGGCAGGTCCCCAAGAGCAAAAGCAGAAGAAGGCAGACACCAAACCCCAGCTGGTGCCTAAATTCCCCTTTCAAAACAGACTGGTAGGGTGTTCCCCTGCCAGGATTCTCAGGGATGCACAGAACTTGCAGCTCTGTGCCCCAAATGCCCAAAAGATGTTGGTCATGCGAGCTGCATGTGTGCACTGGGGAAAAGAGATCGTCTTGCCAAAGTTGGGACCATATAATGCAACCCATCTGCAGTCCGTCCTATTTAACATCAACAAACATGGTCAGACTTGGGCATGAAGATCCAGAACGTCATGTGGTTTCAGCTATGGAAAGCCGTCCCCAAATCAAAACCAGGGACCATTGCATTGGTACCAGATATCTGTGGGTTTCCTTCCAATGTGTGAGATAACGCTTGCATCCCAATAGACACAATACATCCCTGCATCCTATCTCACATGGGAGGAGTGGTAGCACTGCCTCTGACAAGGATGGAAACAGCAGCTGGAAGGGACAACCTGGGGACAGGGAGAGGCAGCAACACTCCCATTGCCTGCTGGGGCTGGGAACGGCACCACCCTGCCTGGGTGTGCACCCTCTGAGCCCCCGCGAGAGCATCCCTCAGCCTGGGGCACACACGGGGAGCTGGCGACTCAGCAGGCTGTGGCCGGGCACCACAGCAGTTGCTGCCCATGGCACCATATCAGTTACCTGGCTGACTGTATCTCCTTTTATTTTTAGCCACAAGCCAAAATTTTTGGTTTAAGAAACCCTTTTCCACACCCTCTTGGGAAACCCAGTTCCCTGGAGGGTATGGTCCTGGTGGGCTGTTTCCTGAGGCTCTTGCAAGGCTCCTTACTGGAGGACATGGTTGGGAAACTCCCCTTGGGAAGGACAATCACGGTGTGTGTTGGGGCCAGGCTCTTTGGGATATGGAATAATGTCTCTTCCTTTTATCTCCTCTCCTTTCCTGCCTGCTTCTCGCTCTCCTGCACAGAGATCCCTGCTGCTCCCCCCACCACCGCTGCCAGCAGCACAGAAGAACCTGCAGGTACGTTATCTCTTCTTTTAAAGCATCTTGATGGTAAATGTCTTTTAAGCAATTATCTGCCTGACATGAAATTGCATTCAAGTAATATATAAATTCTGTTGTTTGTACTGGGACAAGTGGTTTTCTTTTATGCCCAAAATGTTTGAGTGTTTGAAACAAGTGTGCAGCATCCTGAGGGATGGGTGTTTCCAGGAGCATGTGGGAGTGGAGGGAAGATGCAGAAGGATTTTCTCAGAGGTGCCTAAATCTACAGGCACACAGGAGTTACCCAAAGTGGGACCAGTGCTTGATGGAAAGGAGGTAAGGACTCAGGATCACTATTGGTTGATTATTAAAGTTGAGTTGTTACCTACTCAAATAGAAGAGTCCTAAGAGGGTAAGAAAACAGTCCAGATGAGTTTTTCTGGTGGAGGAGGACTAAAGAAGCAAAAATCTCCCAAAAAAGAACAAAAGCCCTAAGTGTTGCTTATTGCTACACATGAGCATTTTTTTTCTTTTTTTTTTTTTTTTTTTTTTGGCCTAGATCTGTGTATTTCTGGTGCTGAGCAATCTTAGGTGCTGATCCGACCCATGTACGTCAGCAGCAATGTGTCTCACGTCCAGCTTTGTGTGTCCTCGGGGTGGGACACGTCTGTGATTAGTGGCCTTTTTGGAGACAGTTGTGCTCAGATGTGTCTCAAGGCCAGTGACTGTAAGAGCTGGTGGAAGTGTCTTAGCTCAAAGCAGGAGGTCCTGCAGCAGCAGGTCCTGCAGTGAAAGGTCCTGCAGTAGTGACTGCAGCCCCGATGGACTTGGATCACTGTGTTAATGGGAGCTGCAGTACAGGGCATTGTCCCGAGAAAGCTCTGGCCCATCACGCTGTGTGTATCCTCCTGTTTTCCCTCCCCTTGTCCTTGTGCTAAACACCACCTGCGCAATGCCAACCCGGGGCTCAACGCGTCTCTTTGGACACCCCATCTCCACCACAACTGCGCCCACACCCGCCATCCTCCCCTCCTGGTTTACACCCCAGAGGGATCGACACCTGTCCCTGACATGTCACTGAGGGATGTTGCCATCCCCAGCTCCCTCGGGGTCAGACAGGTCTGAGCAGGGATGTGTATGTGGATCTGAGCAGGGATGTGACATGTGGATCTGAGCAGGGATGTGGTATGTGGATCTGAGCAGGGATGGGATATGTGGATCTGAGCAGGGATGGGATATGTGGATCTGGGCAGGGATGTAGTATGTGGATCTGAGCAGGGATGGGATATGTGGATCTGAGCAGGGATGTGATATGCAGGATGGAATCAGGAGCAGGATCTCCCTGGGAAATTGTGACTTATTGAGTCCTGCTGCCTGCAGATTCCCAGGGTATTTGAACAGCACCATGGCTGTGAAGGACATGGGGTGTAAACGCTGTTTACTTTTGTCCCAGCAGTGTAGGAGGGTTTGTAAATTAAGGATTTTGTACTAAAAGTGATGTGTGTCACCCTGAATTGAACCCTGAGCCAAGGCTCACCCTGTGGCAGGGCTTTTCACACGGGCTGTGGGAGCTGCTGGGTGCTCAGGAGCTCTTCCCAGGATGGGAAACCCAGGGAGCAAAGGGACAGGGTCTTCTCCCAGTGTCACAGGAAGGTGAAGCCCAGGGTTTTCTGTAGGACTGATTTAAAGGACAAGTTCTGCTGCCTGTAAACACAGTAGCAGCAGCTCTGTGTTTCAGTGTCTTTCCTTAGGCTTTCCTTAGGTATGAGCAAGAAATATTTTGCAGCCTCGAGTTTGTGCCTATTGCTTTGTGTGTGCTTCTTAAAGTGTCTCCACTGACCTGCAGGGCTGAGAGGAGCACGAAGACACCAAAAACCTGCCCCAGCCAGCATGCTTCCAGCTCAGGGTCTGGTGATCAGCCCTTTTGCTGCTTTGCCTTGTTAATTAGATGCTGACATAAGATGTGAGGTTTGGTGAGTCCATCACAATGGAGTATTGGGCTATTAGGAGTAGAGCCTGTCCTACCTAACCTGAAGCCAAGCAGGGGCAGGTCTTCTGTTCTTCACAACACTGTTTCCTGACAATATCAGCCTCTGTTACCTGCTTCCATCAGGAGAAATCTCCTTCCCCAACTTCTCAGGAGCTTAATTACCTGCCATAGTGCGTCTCACCATCTTCTTTCAGCCACAGAGAGCTGCTCCCCAGAGCTCCTGTTAAACGTCCCATCTTGTCCTGGCTGCAAGAGGACTCAGTGTGGGGATGTCGCCGCCTTGGCCAAGCCCCTGGGACTGGCAGACAGACCTCAAGTCTTCACATGAGCATCGTGAGTGTTAAAGGAGAAGCCGCTGGTGGAGCACTCACACCCCACCCAAGGAGTCACTCACTCACCACCTGAGACCTGAACTGCTGGGGCTGGGGTCCCTTTGCAGTGGGGTCTCCAGGAAGCTGATGAGTGCCCCTCTCAACTCCTCACTCACACACACTCTCACTCTCGGGTGCTTCCTCTTCCTTCAGGCTTGACCCCAGCTTTCCTGTAGCAGAGTCTCAGACATTGAATCTTATTTAAAAAATAATTTGTTTAAATGGTGCAGCCAAAAAACCCAGGTCAAGCCTCTGGAGAGGGACCTGGAACAAAAAAATCTTTGGGCAATTATACCCCTACGTGCACCTGCACCTCATGCACTCTTCACGTGTTCTTCACCCACATCTTTAGTCCAATGATGATTTTTGGTCTAGGGTCTTCTAGCACCTTATTGGTTTCTTTCTTTGTCTCCCAGCAACTGTCCTTATCTTACTGAGTTGCAGCTTCTGCTGATGGCTGCAGACTCCTTATACTCTGGTTTGTGCTTCTTGTGCACCTGCTTGCTGGTGGAACATGGGGATCTGAAAAGCCTTAAGACTTGGGATAAATGCTGCTTAGCAAGAACTAACACGTCAGTGTGTTATCAACATTATTCTCATACTAAACCCAAAACATGGCAATTTACCAGCCACTAGGAAGAAAATGAAGTCCAGCCCAGCTGAAAGCAGATCAGATTGTGGCCTCAGGATTCATCATGCTAATGTTAAATGATGGACTCTGAGCAATTCATTCTGTTTTAAACTTCCTGAGTGAAGCAAAGTGACTAGTACATCTCAAGAGTGAGAGCTGGCAGCTCCTGCAGCCTCTGCAACTCTTTCGTTTGTCCCAGCACCGCAGTTTGGTGCAACACTGCAGGTGCATCCCAGCAGTGCCAGCTGAACGTGCTGGATGTACAAGGTAGAGTGGGATTCCCTCTCCCCATCTTGTTCTGTGGGAGGTAAATTTATGTCTGCAACTCCCTGTTTCACCCCCTGCTATAAAGGAAGCCCAGGTCAGGTTGCAGGGCATGGGGTGCATTTCTGAGTGAGTAAAGGATTGCTTTGCTGCATTGTCATGGTGGGGAGCATCCCTCAGGAGAGCTTTGCATGCAGTTTGCCCTGCTAAGCCCCCTACCAGCCTTGGAGCTGGTGGCAAGAGGTGACACTTGAGCAGCGTTCCTCAGTTTGAACTGGCCACAGGGATCCCTCAATGCCATTTTGCTGCTGTTAGGACCTCATTTATCTGGGCATGTCCCTGGTTCATCAGTCTATAAGGACCTTTTTGAGGACATTCTCTGTTATTCACAGTCTTCTCCATGCCAGCCCCCTTGTCCTCTCACATCTTCCCAGAGTGTGACCACAAGAGGGGTTGAATGCAGGTGAGGGCTTGGAGGAAGCAGCATTTACCCACATCCATCAGGCAACATCCTGGCTGAAAGGAAAGTGCTGCTGATGCCCCAGCCCTGCTGTCCCCATGACTCACGGGTGGGGAGTGGTTGGGGATGACACATCTCCCACCCGTGTGCTCCCTGCGATACCAGCACAGCCAGGGAAACAGCTCCGGTCCGTGAACCCCCTGCACTGTCCTGGGCACGTGCCAACTGGGGCAGCTGCCTTCAGCCATCCCAAATTCCACGTGCCAGCTCGATTGGCCACAGCCCTCACCCTGAGTTGATGTGCTGTGGCAGTGTGACCCATGGCTGCCCTGAGAAGCGTGTCACAGCCAGCACCTCAGCACCAGGCACTGTGTTGGGTGGGCTGGGGCTGGTGCTGGGCTATTTGCCCCTGTGGCCCCTCAGTCAGCCAGTGAGCAGGGCAAAAGCATAGAGCCTGCAGTGACAGGACCCTTGCACAGGACAAGGGGGTGCACAGGTTATTTGAGGCACCAAATGTGGACACTGGTGAAGAGCAGGTCCTTGTGCAGCTGGAGGGCAGAGCCAGGCTCTCCTTGCCACCCGTGCCTAGGGGAGTGCCTATAGGGATGGCTGTGGGGACCAGGGGCATATCAGTCAGGACGTGCCCCTCACCTTTGACCAAGGCTTTGGGTAGTTGTCTGAAACACCTCCCAGTCTTGCTACAAAGGGCTTGTCTCTCCCCAGTGCTGCTGGCAGGGATGCAGCCTCCAGCCCTGAGCCCCTGCAGATCTGGGCAGCAAACGGTCCCGTTAGGGAAGGAGCAAGTCCTTGTCCTGGGGAGAAGGGTTCTTCAGAGACCTGCCCCAGCCCAACTGGGTTTCCATAAAGCCTGTAACTGAGAACATCTCAGCACGGTTAGGGACCCCCTTTCAGAAAGGGACCCCTCGCTGGAGGCTGGGGGAAGGTTACCCATGGGCTGGGAGTGAGCATCCTGACAGCCTGCGAGCCATGAGGAATGACTCGAAAGCGTGGCTTGGATCCCTGCATCGTGTTGCTGGAGGGCTGGATCTCCCCAGTCCTGCCCAGGGGGTGACCGGGGACCCATCCATCTCTCCAGGAGCCTCTCATGCCACTTCCCTGTGAAAGCCCAGAGGAGGCTGAGCCAAGCTGAGCAATCTGATGCGCCCAGCGTCTGGCCATAATTCTTCTCGCAGTGATTTTTATTGGACTTTTTAAGCACTGTTTTGTCCAGGGAGCTTGAAACCTCCACATTTCACTCCTTCCCCTCAGCGGGAAGTGTCAGATGGTCCTAGGTCTCAGCATCACTCATCTCCCACCACC